TTTTTGTTTTTATTTTTATTTCCGTTAACGAAAATGTTTTTTCACTTCTAGTTTTCGTTATTTCGTTAGTTTTCGTTAACGATAATAACCTTGTCTGATAACTGATTCAACACTTGAGAACAAATGATAATACTGGAAAGTTTTGTGCAGTAATCAAATTAAGATTTGAATGTATGAAGACAGGAATATTATTAGACTTTTTGAATATTTTGATAAAATTATTGCTAATTACTGCTACTCAGTGCTGTGTATTAACTAATTCAGACCTGACACAAAACGTACACTATTATTACACTTGTCAATAAACAATATTTCAGACTAGACCATCTTCAGCTGTTGCTGTCAAAATGTCATAAAGCAGATTTTTGTGCTGGACTTCTTATTACTTTCTCCAAAAGGCTCCCCGAAAAACCTTCAGAGATTAGAACCAGATATAAAAAAGGGGACATTTTTTATCACATTAACTTCCTGTTAATTGAGAATTAAGTGCACAAATCCTGATGATCAGGAACGGCTGGATGATATGAGATCATGATCAGTCAACATGAATATCACATCACGTCCTTATTTCTGTCAAACTTAAAGGTTCCTTTTTATTCGTAAGTGCAGATGTGAAAATATAAGGTTAATTTTGGTTAAAATTTTTGCCACTTTTGCCACTTTTGCCACCGATCTGTATTTATGGGAACAATGGCAACCTCATACTGTGCATATATCTCATATTGTGCATATGCACAATATAGGGCAAATGTGTTACCTAGATGAGAGTACAGATTTTAATATCTCTGGAAAACTGCATCTCCATTCTTGGAAGCTCTCAGACTGTAGATAATAAAAGGGTTTTAAGTGCATTTAAAGTCTTTAGACAATAGTGAGAAATGTAGATTATTTTCTTTCCTTTTGTTTGCAAAAAAAACCCAATTATGTTGATCTATATGAATTATTAGTTAATCCTAAAAAATATGACGTCCCTTTTTTGTTAAATAACATTAATTAAACTGTCTTACTTACATTTACTAAAAGCAAACATCTGGCTCCTCTTTCCTTCTGCTACTGCTCTTCCTTTCTTTTGTCCTCTTTAGGCTGCTGCTCTGACAGAGGTGAAACCCTTGATTCCCCGAGTTCCGAGTAACACTGCTGTTCTTCCTGGAACAAGCGATGCTGATTAATTTAGCTGCTGCTCCTGCTGTTTTGGAGTTGGCACTCATCTGCACACATCTGGTGTACACAGTGCCAGCACACTTCTTGCTGTTCTTTGTCTTGAGCTGTTGACATTTTCATTTTAACGACGCCACTGACTCTGTCGACTGAATCAAAACACAGACACTGTTTGTTTTGTTTGACTGCTGTCACGGAGTTTTGCCTTTAATAAGCGATTGTGAGGATAATGGCTTAATACAGTAAAGGTGTCAACAAGCCTTGTCAGCTAGTGTCATGATGCTCAGATGAGCATCTTTAGCTGATAATCCAAAAATGGAATAGGGAAAAAATATTTAAAAAAAAACAAACTATTATTTCAATGTACTCTTTCAAAAACCATTTGTACCAATTTATTTATTTAAAAAAAAGAAAAGAAAAGAAAAATGTAAAAAACGCAGCAAAACAGGCTGTGTATGTAACCAAGATGTGTACAAAGGAGGTTTGATGAGATTAATGCTGGCGGAAACTCGTTGATCTTGTAAAGTCTTCAGTAAATTTATCGTTATTTTAAAACTCAGTGCTACTGTTTCTTTGGTAGCACAGCTACACATTTCAGCTCTTAAAATGTAGGTTTGATCCTTTAAACACGATATCTAAGTGCATCTAGAGACATTAATGAATTATATGTGGAAATCAGTTCATGTGAATATTACTGACTAACTCTACAAATCATTAATGCACATACGTCTGATATGATACTAAAATAAATTTAAACCAACGCAGAGATTTTTCCAAAAATATTTTTGACACTGTCTTGATAAAAATTGTTACTTGTGTGAAAACATTTTCAGGTCGTATAATCTCACGCCACACTGAGGTAGACTGTGGGCGATACAAGCCTTATTTTATATTTCACATTACAGTACAAACAGCGTCCTTATGTGCAGACACTGATGTTTTAGCTAGCAAAGCGGCGTGGCTGATGTGGAGTGAAGCCACGGTAATGACAACGTGTACAACTTTGGAGATGTGAGCAGGACAGACGGGACAATTGGCGGAAAAAGTGTGGACTTTATACCAGTTTTTAAATTGTGTTGATAGG